AAACCGATTCAGGACGTCTCAGGTCTGAGGTTCGGGCTCCCATGCAACAACGGCACTTACCCCTACTGAGGAAAAAGTATACGCTCAAACGACCGAAGGCCTGCAGGTAGAAGAACTTCCAAGTTCTTAGTCCCTTCTTTGGGCAGGAGGCCTCTGAGATTTGCAGCGACGTTACAGGGACCCTGCAGTACAGATCTAGCCAGAACTCCACAAAAAGGCTACACAATCCCAGCTTCCGTTTTACCATCCCTTTTCTTTCCCATCTGCACTCCATTATAAGGGGGCATTGTCCCTACACCCTAAACCCTAATGCCTACACCCTAAACCCATAGATAACCCTTGCCAGGGGATGTATCGCATTCATTCGTTTCGCAGACCACAGCCGAATGTCAAAGCCCATACAGCACTCCCACGCAAGTTCGGACGGACCATGTCAAAAGAGCTCAGAGCCTGATGCTTAGGGTCAAGTAGCACTTCGGGTAATGTTAAGGGCTTAGGGCCAAAGATTGGGGTTGAGGGCTTAAGGCACATGGGGACTTTATAAGGATATTTGGGATTTAGGATTTCGGGTTTAGGGTCTATGGTGACTATATAAGGATATGTGGGGTTTAGGGTTTAGGGGGGGCCCTAGCCCTAAAAACTGTCCTGACTTTCCACTCATCAGCTCATAGCTACTCCGCCGGGGAGTGTCACAGCTATGCCGACTAGAACCCTTGACACGGTTTAGGGTTTAGGGATTTAGGATGATTTAGGGTTTAGGGTCTCGGCTTTAGGGTTTAGGGTTTAGGGTTGAGCTGAAGGGCTTGCCCAAATCCAAAAACTCTGCAATCCCTGTACTGTATGGTCCTGGAAGCACGGGTACCCTAAAATCCTATAATCCATCTTAATCGGACTCTCCAAGGTATGACCCATTTTGGGAAACTTCCATTTTGAGTACACTCCTGAACCCAAAACCCTAAACCCTTATCCCGAAACCCTGACCCGTATAAGCACTAATTACCCCCTAAGCCCTAAACCCTGATCCCAAAACAAAGAAGGACTGCACCCCCGAGTCCTAAAGCCCCACTTACAAGTTAAGAAGACACGCCCTAAACCCCTAAACCCTAAACCCCTAGCCTAAAACCCTAAACCCTAAAGCCTAAAGCCTAACCCAAAATCCTGAGGCCTCAGCCCTGAACCCTGTCTGGGCACCCCGCATGAGGACGATGCTCGGATCTGTCGCGACACCGCCCGTGTAGCTGAAGTCGAGGTTGCCTTTCTGGGTTGAGGGTGAAGGTTGGGTACTGCCCCCACCCAGTAACAGTCTATATTAGGGGTCCTGATAAGGGCTATATATAACCCTATTATAATTATTATCCAACTGTTAGTGAGGGGGGGCAATACCCAACGTGTAGGGTTTAGGGCTTAGGGCGTGGGAGTTTATGATTTAGGGGTGTGGGATTTTGGGTTTGAAGGGTTTAGGGTCTAGGGTTGCGAGCATAGGGTATCGGTTCCGAACCTTAAAGGGTAGGTTGTAGAGATTCAGGTAGAAGGTATAAATTCAAAGTCGTAAGTGCGGTTTAGGATATAGGGCTTGGCCAAAAGTACTCCCAAAACAGCGGAAATCTATAAAGGTACCCCCACGAACCCTAAACCCCAAACCCTAGGGTTTAGGGTTCGGGGTTTGTGTTTAGGGTTTAGGTGTACCCCACTACCCATTCAGACCCCAATAAGGGAGGAAGATGGCCTCAAGAGTAGTGGGGCACCAGGTAGTGGATACCAATCTTCTAATGATAACACTTTAGGAACTGGATTATCTTCGTGGAGGTTCTTTGTCTTCTCTTTCTTCATCATTTCCCAATTTTTTTGTTATCTCTTTCCCTTCTTCTTTCTCTTTCCTCTCTCTCTTATCAATGTGTGTATTACGTTCGCTTCTTGTTTTTATTGTTCAACGAAGCGACTTCCACAAACACAAATAAATGAACAAGCGAGTGAAGAGAAAGAAGTGAACAAGTGAGTGGAGTTCCAAGGACACAGGGTGCATGCATTATGTTGGCATGGACATCCAACGCAGCGGGCATACTCATTGGCACTTCGGGACAGAGACATTGGCTTTTCCTTTGGGAGGACAAGGCTCGACATCTGTAAAACCTGAAGCAAAACTTCGTCTCTTCAAGCTTGGATGCCTTCAGCCTCCATGGGAATGAGATAAATGGAAGTCCCGAAAAGGCTGGAGTAGCTTGTCATCCTTATAGATAAGGCAGGCCCTTGTGTTAGTCAGTGGCCATCTCCTGCAGCACTTCAGGTCAGCCGCAAACCTCGCTTTTGCAAACGGTAACATCTCAACCCTCCGCAGCCAGATCAATGAGGAGGATTTTGGCAGAAGAAACCCCGAAAGTCGGACCCATGATGGCCACGTAATACTTGTAGGGTCCCAATCTTGGGGGTTGGGGTTCTATGCCACCTTGTGATGTATTGGCTAAACCCTAAACCCCCTAGACCCCCAAACCCTAAACCCTGAACGCCCCTAAACCCCAAAGTAGGTATGAAGTGTATATGAGGCATCTATAGGGACAACCGGGAATTACGTATTGGGTACATAAGGCTCAGGTAAGGTCCCTACATGGTAGCTCCCCTCCTGCAATGTCTTAAATAAACTCATTAAACCCTTAACCCTGAACCACCCTAAACCCTAAATCCCTAAACCCTTGAACCCTAAACCCTAAACCCGCTACACCCTACACCACCTAAACCCAAAAAAAACCTAACTCCCGGCCGGTCTTCGGCTCATTTCAGCCCTGGGGGATAAAATTCAAGGTAGAGCTTCACTCGAGAGTTTATGGGTTTAGGGTTAAGGTCTTAGGGCTTCGCGATTTAGGGTTTAGGGTGTGGGCTAGATTGAACTGTGGGCCATGGTATGGCCCTGGTGTCCTTACATACCTATGATGTATCCTATGAATCCCTAAACCCCACCTGATGCTCGTAGCAACGACCTAGGAAAAAGGTAGGGGCCCATAATGGGGGCCCATTCTTATGACCTTTGAAATTATCATTGAGTGTTAGGTCATTCTAGAAGTCCCAGAGGAGAAAGTTCTAACACCCTCGACCCATAAGATCACCTGTTGCGGGGGCCTACGCAGTTGGAATAGGGCGTTGGGGCGTCAAACCCAGGGCTCTTTTTGGATCCCCTCATAAAATACAGCCCTTAATTCAATGTTTAGGGTTTTTGTTTAGAGTACCCCAGTCTAGTGTTTAGGGTTTAGAGTACCCCAAAAGGGATCATAATCTGACGATCCCCCCCGCATAGCAGGGTTGTCAGGGGAAAATATGTATGCTCATTCAGGCTTCTACAGTGCAAGCAACCCGCAGGTGCTGAACCAATGAACTCACTGAGAACTGCCTGTGTGCTCCCTGGGCTTCGTGGTAAGGTTTGGATCAACAATTCATGAGCAACGATTGAAGGCTTGGAGGTTCAACTGCGTGAGGGGGTTTCAGGGCTCGAGTTTGAGGGCTTGTTATGGTATCCGATACTGTCCCTACCCTCAAATATGCCAAGAACCCCAAGCCCGAAGTCCAATGCGAGGCCTGTTTGGATCTGTCAAAGGACACAGAGCCAGGTTGGGTTCTCAGGACTGGGTTTTAAAAATTAGGGTTTACTGCCTTGTCTTGTCAAAGGTTCGACTATTTGGGCTTGTGCTAGCTACAGACGTCGGGTAGAATGTCCAAGGAGTTTAGCCCTATAATCCCCCTTAAGTAGATACACTATGTGGCTCTGGGCATATTATAATAAGAACCCCATATACCCCATATTCTATCTACTTAAGGGGGACTATACCCTAAACCCTAAACCCTAAATAGTAGTTTCCATTTTCTTTTCCATTATCCCTATATCTACTTAAGGGGAACTGTAGCCCCACCACTTCAGGCGTGAAGTGAAGCAAGCTGGCGATTGACGGTAGCCAGCCTCCACACAATGCCACGGCCGCAGATTCCACGTTTCCTGGCGGTCTGGATTTTCGTCGTGAGTTGTTTGTAGAAGACATTCCTCCAGTATTCGGATCAATCGTTGAGGACCTTTTCTTGGAACCTTTTAAACTTTGCCCAAAATTCCCTCTCTAACCAGCGCTCAAGCTGTCCAATGCCCCCCTCCCTTCCAGCAACGGCTGCCCCTGCAAGACCCCTCCCTGACCCCCCGCATCCCATCCCCGCATCTCCTTCCTGATTCCGGGCTTTAGATTCGCGATTCCCGGCTTCGGAATGGCTAGAGTTCCTGGATATGTTGCATGGAGGGCTTGGGATGCTGGAGTACTGCTACATACATCTACCACTTTGATATGTTGCTGGGCACTCCTCGAAAGTTTTGTGGTTAGTTACCAGGGGAGTTGGGCGGAAGGTAACCATAGTTCCAAGCTTGATCAGGGTCCCTGTGAAATCCTGCGATCCAACTTAGATCTAGCTATCAACCTCCAAGTAGCACCATCCTGCCATGGTTCGGAGAAGAAGAATGCCATTCCTATGGTGGCTGGAGGAAATCTTGCCCACTTCGGAACCCAAGCGCATGGTGAATCCTGGGGTAGGCAATGCAGAATTTCCTCCATCCAAAGCGGGGTTTACGCCGTCCTTCGTAATAAAAACCCATGGACATCCACCGAACAAAGTCAGGTAGGGGCATGAGAAAATGCACAAGTTTGAAGGAGGTTATATTGAAGCTGTGATATGAGCTATAGTCTGAACTCCTAGTATCTCCCTTAATGAGCCCTGTAATACTCCCCTGAATGATCCCCTTCAGGAGTTTAGACTACAGCTCATACTAGGATTGCAAGGGCAGCATGGTGGTAATTTTTGAGGCTGCTGCAGCAGGCACATGTAATTCTTGATGCCACCAGCGATAACGAGACAAATACCACGCAAACCCTATGATTCAACTCCCCCATCAAGCCCTTGACCCTTAACCCTAAGCCCTAAACCTTGAACCTGGACTCTATAACCTAAGCCCACAACCAATCTTCAAGAGGCAGGTCCTCTAAAGGTCAGCAGAATAACCAGGACTGTTCCCAGAACGCCGCCGAGGGTCAACCTCTTGCTAGTTGAGGGTTCAACATTCTGGGGCTCTCGTTTCTCGGAGTGATGTACTATACCCGAAATATACTGCAAGTAGGCTACCTCACGCCTAAGTAACTCCAGAGCGCCACAAAGTGTAGGATTCAGGTAGTGTGTGGCTTACGCGAGACTTAATCATTCTGGTTTCACACATGGTGCTTCGTTTCATGGCAAAGAATCCTCTCTATGAGCTGCAGTCAACACTTTCTACTCTACATGTATTGGACATGGGCTCCTTATTAAGGACTTTATTAGGGACTATACTAAACTACAAGAGGGAACCCTATGTCCACGCTTAATGGTCCCTTGGTAAGGCTGATATTGACCATAGCTCACATATTCTCTGGAGATATGAAGGGTTATGTAAAGATATATCTTCATATAATCCCTTCCACCTAATATTAAAGGGCTCCCCCCTAATGTAAATATTCCGAACCGTATTTTATACTCGGGGCGAATATTTATCGTACAACCCGAACATTAGGGGGTGTGTATAATGGGTCCTATTAAAATCTGGTTAAAATCATGTAACATTTCAACTTCAGGACGTATCAGGGACTATTTCAAACTAGAGCCTTATTAGGGACTATCTGAAATTAGGGGGGTATTCGGGACGATTTCAACTTAGGGCCTTATTAGGGACTATTTCAAGTAGGGGCCTAATTAGCGACTGATTCAAATTAGGGCTTCATTAAGGAATTTGTTAGATACTATTTCAAATTCGGGCCGTATCAGGGACAATATCAAACTTAGGGCCTATTAGGGACTATTTCAAACTCGCCGATGGCGTTAGGAACCCTTACAAACTCCCTCTCCTTTTTCCCTTGCAGACCCTCCGACTGTGGCAAACCCCCCCTCCCGCCCCTCCAGTGGTGGGCGGCCCAGTCCAACATGAAATTCCAGGACTCGCTGGTCAAGCTACCCACTCTCGTCCCCTCTCCCTCTCTCCGCACCCCCCCCTCACCCCCTCTCCCCCCTCTCGGCCCCTCCTTTTCAACCTTACTTTTCATTGTTTACCCCCAGCCCGTCCCCGCTTGCCCACGCCCGCTGCAAATACCTCAGAACGGTTTATGTTGGTTTGTTTTCCAACGATTCTTTGGCATAGGCTGGAATGCTGGGATTTAGGAGGTTAAGGTTTACTTACACAGGGTTTGGGCACGTCCCCCTAAGCAAATTTACTTTGGCTTGTTTTCCAACGGTTCTGTGGCATAGGCCACATGCATCTTTTCAAGCCCAAACGTTTCGAGGCCTTTTCTTCTTTTGGAAAATTAGGAGGTCCCGATGATTTCCGCAATTTTTCCTGAACAAAACAATTTTTCAGAACAAGACACGATTTTCGATACCAGAATTGGCTAAAGCCCCACAACCTACAGCCCAAAGGCGTCCGTCCATAGCTCGTATTGCGGCGACACATGTTTTCCTTGCCGTGTTCTTTTGCTTTGGCCGAAGCTGCCAGCTTTTCGTTGCGGCGGCGCTGGGTATGCGCCTTAGAGGGTCTTTTCTCAACATCTGCGAGCATGAACGTGCCACCGTCTAATTCTTATCTGTACATAGGCGTGCCACGACATGCTGCGACATTGTTAAGGGTTTTGGGGTAAGGATCAGACACCTGATTAGGAAATCCAGAAACCGAAACATGCTTTGAGCCCTACATACTGCACGCCAAACTTTCAACCCTGAATCTTTGATCCATGTTTTACCTCTCCATGCCTATTTTGACTGCAGCACACCGACTTGAATCTGGTCCGCCTCGATCCGACTCCCCTACTTCGAACATGCAGGTGCAAGGTCTAAGTTGATGCTTGTACCCCCCACTACCCCCCTCCCGATACCCTGGCCTCCGCCTCCTTGACACGATGTCGTTCCCCATTTAGGATATACGCATCAACTTCCAGCGCGGTCGCTCCATCCCGGTGTTGGGATACACGGGGTGAAGGGTTTGCCTCCCCAGTGTGAGTGAGCATTGCTGTCTGTGCACCCCACAGCCGAGGCGGGCGCGCGATAGCGTTTACAAGTAGGGCCTTATTAGGGACTATTCCAACTAGGGCCTTATTCGGGACTATTCCAAATTAAGGCCGTATTGGGGACATTACGGGACATTTTCAAATTGGGACCTTAGTAGGCCGTATTCCAAATTGGGGCATTGGAATCTGCTTCTGGAATTTTTCTATGCAAATTCCGTGCTAAAAACCGTTCAAAAACAATCATCAAAAACAGTCATAATCTAGAAAATGAAAGAGATCCCTACTCCTCAAGAGTCGTGCTAAAAACCCCAAGAGCCGCAATCAACTCGTCTTGGCCCTTTTAAACATAGTCTTCGGGGCATCTTTCAGAATTTGGAATTCTGGCGAACCCGTATTCAATACTAGGGGGGGTGGTGTAATATCAGGGGGAAAGGATTATCCCGCTACATGAGGATATATAGGGCTCTATCCGGGCAATGAAAAAATGGAAACTATATCCCACTACATCAAAACGTGGTAAGTAAAGTAAAGTAACGTAAAGTAAAATATAGTTAAGTAAGTAATTAAGTAAATAAGTAAGTGAGCAAGAAAGCCAGCAAGCAAGGAAGCACGCAAGCAAGCAAGCAAGCAAGCAAGCAAGCAAGCAAGCAAGCAAGCAAGCAAGCAAGAAAGCAGGCAAGCAAGCAAGCGAGCAAACAAGTAAGTTGGTAAGTTAGTAAACAAGCAAGCAAGCAAGCAAGCAAGCAAGCAAATAAGCAAGTGATGGGTGACTGAGTGAGTGAGTAACGGAGTCCGTAAGTCAGTTAGTTGGTTCGTAAGTGGTTTAGGGCTTCGGGGCATAAACCATGAGCCAGCATCCCGACTCCGCAAAGCCTGATCCCTGAACCCATGTAGACCCGTGATTAATACACCCCCTGCTTTTCAAGGGCCTCTATATTAGGATCCCTATGATAATCACAATTAAATACCCACAGTATACTATAGTAGTTTCCATTTTCTTTTCCATTATCCTCAAATTTCCTATTATAATCCCTATTAAGGGGAGGGGGGTTATAAATTAGGGGTCTACATTATCCGTAAACCTTCATCCCGAAACCTCATCCACCGTAAGTACAAACATTGCTCCATTGCAATTCTTGTATACTTATCTTGGTTGGCCTTTAGAGACCTTTGAAAAATACTAGTATAGATGGGTCCCTATAAAACCAATAAGGGAAAATATTTAAGGAGCCCAAAAGCCTACCCAGTTATGGTAGTATCTACCGTACAACCAACCCTGCATGAATTGCATAGGCCCTACACTACAATCTTGAAAGCATCCAATGCAATCCCAGTTTCCTTGTCTAAAAGGACTCTACTGGGAACCCCAAATAGGGAACCCCAAGAATATAGAAGGAATATAATGGAATATAAGGACCCTGGTAGGTATATTCCTATTATATACCTACTATATTCTTGAAGTTCCCGGTTTGGGGTTCCCAGTAGAGTCCCTTTATTGTCATGTTCAAGCATCCTTTCCTCCTACTTCTCCAAAAATCTATATCCTAAACGCTAGACCCTAACTCCCTAAGTTAAGCCCAAACGTACAACTGCCTAAAAAAACAAATCCCAAAACCCTCATCCCCAAACCCCTAAACCCGAAACCCTAAAACCCTGAAGCCCTAAAACCGTGAACCCTAAACCCTAGAACCCTAAAACATTGAACCCCATCCACTGCACTGCCCAAGTCTTGCAAGTGACGCAATTCGCAGGACATCCTGGAATGGCGCCCGCCTTGGGTGCAGTGACACTTGACAGTATACTTAGGGTGCTGGGATTAGGGTTAAGGGTTTAGTATTTAGGGTTTAGGGTTTAGGATTTAGGGTGCAGGGTTGAGGGCTGGGCCTCCGGTTGTAGGATTTATGGGCTTTGGGCTTAGGATTTGTAGTCGTAGTACTACTAGGACTGAGAGATATACAGATCGGATAGCAAATACTAATACCGATACCAATACTACAAACAAAGGTAGCCAAAGTAGTGATAGTAGCAGGAATAGGAATAATGATGAGATTTAAAATAGTAATAATGACAATGCCAGTACTCGCAACAGAAAGATTTGTGGGCGCGGGTTTAGAGTTTAGCTTTTATGGCTCGGGTTCAGGACTCAGAGTTTTGGAAATGGGGTTTTCTCTTCGAAAGGATGAGTTTCGCAGGGGTAGGGTATATGGGTTCTGTTGTAAGGGATTGGGCATAAACCCAAACCCCCAGCGCCGAACACCAAGCCCTACAAAAGCCTAGGCCCTACGCTCCAAACCCTAAATAAACAGAACTAAACTTTAAACCCTAAACCCTGAGCCGTAAACCCTTAACCCTCAACCCTGAACTAGACCCTAAACCCCTTAGCCTCAAGCAGCCAGGCAGCACCGACCTCGTCATACCGCAAGTGATCGGCTGGATCTTGGTCAGAAGGCCACGCAGCCTTTCTTGAGGATTTCCGGTTTAGGGTTTAGGGGGTTGGGGCTATAACAATATAGAAGGTCCCCATGTCCCTTTCAAGGGGGTAAGGGATGTAGTACTAGCAATAGCCATTCATAATAGCACTAATCATATGAGCCATAATCTAAACTCCTAGCGTCGCCCTTAATAAGCCCCGTAAGTAGTCCCCTATATAATCCCCTGTATAACCCCCCTTTAAGGAGTTTAGGCTATGGCTCATATGAATATCACTAATGGTGATGGTAATAAAGGCTTAGGGATTCTAGCTTCCTGTCGCTCGCCACGCCACTTCTCCGTCAGCAGAACGTTCGCGACCAGCTCGTCCACATCAAGGACAAATGCCTGCGATGGGAATGTCTCACAAAACAGGTCTCTAGGGCTTAGGTAGAGTTTCGTGTTTAAGTTTTAGGGTTTGGGACCACGGGATTTATTGGCCATAAGAAGGGATCAGACGGGCCAATTCTAGGCAGCATACAGTGATTGTCCTGAGCAGGAAGGGTAGAGCGATGCGGACCTAAACCCTAAACCCCTAGAGTTTCGGGACACTGGGCTTAGGGGAACCCTTACGGTTGAAGGTCCAGGGTTCCTCAACGGGTGCTCTCTGTAATGGGATTACAAAAGAAGAGGCACTGGGAGGTTCATGGGACCTACGAACTAACTCCATCTCCAGGGTTTAGGGTTTAGGGAGTAAGCTGCACTGCCTTCCGCTAAGACTAAACATGTCTGCACCCACCTAAATGACTGTACGCTCGCCCTCTAAGAGACCAGATGCATCGAGGGATGGATTCAATATCAGGGGGTCAGGCTAAACCGCCCTTCAGCCCTAAACCCTTGGACCTAAAACCCTCAATCCTCGTTCGGGGAGGTCCGGCTGAGCAAACCTTCAACCCTAAATGATAAACCCCAACTGAGGCCTGCATAGTACAAATCCGGCTCATCAGGGGATGACGGTATAGGATGGGATACTGCCCACACCCGCTAACAGCTTTCTGAACTCAAAATCCGACTCATAGGATTCTGAGTTGATATTCTCACAAATTCCTAGGTCAGAAAGATGCCGAGTAGGGTTTAGGGTGTAGGAGGAAACATTGCACCACATGATATATCTGATACCCTAGGTACTACATAAGCGGTGCAAACTTTCCTCCATCCAGCGAAGGAATGTTTGAGTTTGCCCAAACTGCTGCTCCCAAAAAGGGCTTACGGTTTAGGGTATGGGCAGGCAACTCATGATGCAAGTATATTGCACATGCGAACTCGAGTGTCAGGACCCCGCAAGGTTCTAATTTGGGGAGGTCCAACATCTTGAAGCTGGAGAAGAACACCCAGGTATGTAGACAACAAGCTCTTGGAAACGTTATATCAAAGTTGTTCAGGATTGCTAGTGTAAGGCTTCGCAAAAGATTTAGGATTGTCCCCGCAAGGGTATGTGCTTTTGGACCTGAGGTTTGGGATGGTTTGGGGTTTGGGATTTGGGATTTGGCCATGGCTTGGGCGGTTGAAGACCTGAAGCCTTGAACAGCGCCTACAATATGCTGGGATGATCAAGGTGGGATGAGTGTGTCACAAAAAAACCATGTATAATCCCTTGCGTAAGCCCCTTAATCCCGCTAGAATCCCGGTAGTCCCTAAGGCTACGGGCTGCGGGCTGAGGGTTAAGGGAGATCGTTCCGGGTCTCGAAGGTACCCCAATTCTGAAAAACTCCTTTTTGACTCGCCTTCTGGTCTTTGGGGGCTATGCATCATGTCTTCAAATCTCAAAGGAGTCAGTGAAGACTGCTGTCCTTCCAAGACAGCGCTATGTGGGGCTCCAGATGTATTTCGGGAGGCGTGATCCTGAAAGCGATCAGAAGCTCCAGTACTCGAGCAAGAAAGCTCGCATACAACAAAACTTAGTCTTGGAGACTTGAACTGTGCATTCAACGACAGATCAAGCGGTTTATAATGACTGCTTTGGGTACCTAAGAAGCGAGCAGCATCCCAGAAATTTGTTCCAACAACAGCACGCTTGCCTGAACCCGGTACCCAGACCCCAAAGCCCCTAAATCCTCAGCCCCAAGCTCTAAACACCAGGGCCTGAAATGCCTAAACACTTTGCAGAATGATTCCGAAGTGCCAGGGCCAAGCAGTTCAGCACGATGTCCTGCAAAGCGGGGTGCTCTTTTGGGCGCCTTCCGGCTCTGAGTGCTGCAGTCCAGTGGCTAGGGTCCAGAGTTTAGGTTTACAGCTTGGCGTCTGGATTTTTGTGGCGCAGAGACGGTATGTACACAATTTTGTCTACCATGGTCTTCCATTGAGGCGGGCTTTCTTCAAACAGTCTTCAGGGTGATACATTGGGTATTGCCCCCACCCTGCAACCATCTATATCAGGAGTCATATGAGGGGCTATGTATAACTCTATTGTTGCTTCTATCCAACTGTTACAGAGTGGGTGCTGTACCCAAGGTGATAAACTTGCTGCGGCGGAGGAAGCCCTTCAGTGTAGAACTTCTGGATCGCCAGGGCCTACTTGGAAACTCATGGGTAGCTGTGATTAGAAAATATATAGCTGGACCTGTATCCCAAACAAAAGGACTTCTGGCTTCTGACCTCACCTATACCTAGAAGGATAACGACGGCCGTAAGCTAAACCAAAACCTCAGAACCCTAAACCCTAAACCCTGAACCCTAAACCCTATGACTTTGAAGGAGAGGTAAAGCTAAACCTAGATTGCTCAGGGTTTAGGGCTTAGGGCTTAGGGTTTAGGGTTTAGGGTCTAGCCACACCTAAAGCTACACTCCCCCAAACTGACATGGATTCCCAAAAGGAGCCCTGAAAGGAACCTGAGGCGAGGATCCGGGTTGAGGGACATGAACAAATGTTCCCCAAACCCTAGTCCCCCTTAAGTAGATGGAATATGGCTTTGGGTATGTTATAATAAGATCCCTATATACCCCATATTCTATCTACTTAAGGGGGACTATAAACCTGAACCGAAAGAGGCCCAGATGCTATGGTGCCCCCTCCGTACATCTAGCTGCTAACATGTAGATACATGCACATACGTGCGTTTTCAGTGAGCTATAGTCTAAACTCCGAGTATCCCCCAACCCCTTTTATACTCCGCTATATAACCCCCCTTTAAGGAGTCTAAACCCTAAGCCCTATATACATTACCCTATATACCCCCCTTTCAGGAGTTTAGACTTTTGCTTCTGTAGCTTTGGGATGCAGGGTTCATGATGACTGAAGATGGATTACGTTTAGGGTTTAGGGTTTAGGGATTACAAGGAAGCTTCTTAAGGGTTTTAGGGCTTAGGGTCTGGGGATTAGGTTTGAAGGCTTTCTAAGACTGGGCTGCTGTTCCGGAACTTAGATTGAGTGACCATACTATGGGTATATACTAGAAAATAGGGTTTCCTTATTCAAGTAAGTCTAGATTAAACTCCTTAGCAGCAACCCATAAGAGCAGGATATTCTTACCGTCCGCTGTAGTGCAGCAGCTTTTTTGAGGCCAGCGCATGTGACGCTGGGGTTGCCTAGCTCAATTTATTTGTGGGGGGGGTCCCAAAATCAGGGGTAGCTTTTCAGGGGTCCCTGTAATCAGGTTTATAGTTCCTTTAGGGTCTAAATCGGGGTGCTCTTATCTGTGGGAACTACCATGTAGTGCGGGGAATGACTACATCTCAGAAAAAGAGCCCCAACTGCTTACCAAATTCCACACACAAGCTTGCTCGAGCGAACTCTGCGAACTCTGCCCGATCCTATAGACTCCGACAAGTATCTTCAAACACGGACGCCGGTTTGTCGTGAAGCTAGTTCCTTAACTGACGGCACCCTTATCCCTGCACCCTACACACCTAACCTCAGTCTCCAACCTCTAGACCCGGAACCCTGATCCCCAAACTGGTATCCCAGAAGTCTACATAATAAGTGAAATTCATGCCCTGGACCCCAAACGAATCCCTGCTTCCTGAAACTGAACTCCCCAATCCCGAAGCTCTTATCAAACATGCACAAACCCTTTAGAAGCCCCGTCCGACAGGGACGCCGTCTGTGCAACGTAGATCGACCCGCTGATGGCCAGTGCACCTTCAACGGGCTCGGCAAGCTTGGCCTTCTCTTGGTTGCTGTTTAAGAACTAACAATAGATGCAGATCCTGAATATATGTCCTGTTTCGTCCCTCAAGCCCTCGACAAAGACTGTCATCTACAAATAACTTACCTCTTGGTAGCTTCAGTGGGGGATCCTACTTGAAGGTCCATGGGTAGTTATGACGTGGGGTACACCAGGTCAGAACTACAGTTGCCCTGATTGCAGCCCCACCACTCATTTACGCTTACCGGAAAAACCCATTCCTGCGGGAAGCACCGGGCATCCTCGGAAGTATCCCCGAAACCCAAAACTGGCAGCCTGAAACCCTGAAGCCTACATTCGAAAAAGGAAATCCCAAGCCCTTCATTGCTGCCATTACTATTTATTATGTTATTATTGTTAGTATTACCATCATTATTATGATTGCTAGTATTACTATTATTATTCAAAGAATATGACTGCTATTATTCCTGATATTCTTACTGTCATTACTATTGCTGATATTCCTGTTATTCTTATTGGTACTCTTATTGTTATTATTTCTATCATTCTTATTGTTATTCTGTTATTGATGGCATTATTGTCGTTATTGTTATTGTTATTATTGCTATTATCATTGCGTTGTTATTCTTATGGTTGATACAAGTGTTATTATCATTGCTATTATTCCTGTTATTCTTCTTGTTATTCATACTTTTATTATTACTGTTGCTATGTTATTGCTGTTCCTATTGTTATTATTATTGGGAGCACTGCTGCTATTGCTATTACCACAACTGCCAGGGCACCCATGATCAAGAGGCGCGGAATGACAAGCATGACGAAGGCCACCGCTCGCAAGCAATTCGATATGCCACGGACCTCAGTCTTGAGTCTTGGGCTTAGGGTGTAGGGTTTAGGGGTTAAGGTTTAGGGTTTGGGGCTTAGGGTTTAGGGTTTTAGGGTTTAGGGTCTACAGTTCCCCCCTTTAAGAGGGTCGAATATCGAAGTCCGCAAAACCAAAACAAGGTCCCCGTATTCACCATATTCGACCTGATTAAGGGGGATTGTGGGCTCATACAGTCTGCAACTGCAAGTCGGGAGCTGCTTCGCGGTGGACTCTAAACCCTAAACCCTAAACCATAGAACCGCGATCCCTAAACCCCAAACCCTACACCCTAGACCCCAAACCCAACGCCCTAAACCCTAGACCGCGTGGGGGTGTAGGGCTTCGGGCAATGGGAAATCTCAAGCCGAGGCGCAGCCTTCCCCGAACGGTAGGTAGGGGCTTCATGGGAGTCCCTTTTGGGCAGGGTTTAGGGCTTAGGGTCCAAAACCCCAAACGTTAAACCCTAAACCACCCGATATTCAGGATCAAAGGACTCCAATGATTTGCAAAATGCGCATAGACGATGGGATCGGTTTAGGGTTTAGGGCTTTAGTTTGGGATCCCCTAAATCGGACACTAGGTACATACACGCGCTGATGTTCCTAAGTAACCCTATACATACTTGCAGCAAAAACGTAATGACAACCTTACTTCATGTGAGGTTCATCTTTTAATCCAGGGCAAACTAAGGCACCCATGGCATTTCAACACCAGGGTCTCCTTCGTAGGGCTTACGGGGTTTATGGTTTAGGCTTTAGGAAGGATACACTCGCAAAAATTGTAAACTCTCAAACACCCCGAAGGTTCATTGTTCCACGAGGGGTTCATCCCCTAGAATACTCTTCAAATACTCTTCCCAAGATGGCCGAAACTCGTCTGAATATCACCCTAAACCCTACACCCTAAACCCGGAATCCGAAACTCTAAACCGTCAACTCTAAACATCAGGAGGCGGACAAGGGGGTCATTAAAGCTAGCGACGTCTATCGCACATGTTCGCAGAGACAGGCTTTGGCCCTCCAATGTTCTGGTGGCGGGTGGGAGCAGCAACAGCTCGTAACATTACTTGACAGAAGATGGCCCCCCAAGAAAAGAGCGCGCATCATCAGCCAATGTCAAAACATCTTGCACGTACGGTGCATGCAGGAAATCTTGCACCATCTAGGACCCCCCAATAATGCGGTAATTCCTAGGCTATATGGTGTTTTGGGTGGTGCAAGATTTCCGCCATCCAGGGTAGGGGGTTCCCGAAAGAAGGTAAGCCCGTAGGCGCCCCAGGAATACAAGTAAAGGGATGCGGGTTTAGGGGTTTAGAGTTACACTGCGAATGATTGTTGTATTCTATATTCAGACATTTCCCTATGTGGTTTTTCACGAAACAAGGACAAGGAATGGCAGAATGGCGGGTGTGGGTTGGACTGGCGAATGTAAAGTGGGGAGGTTGGGCTTCGAGATTAGGGACTTTGGTTTAAGCAGTCAGGTTGTAGCATTATCCAGACCACCCCTTCAATAAAAGACCAGTGAAGCTCTGTATGATGTTTTGCTTCAGATTCTTCTTAGCATCCTGAGACAAGTGCTACATTGTTCGAGGTTTAGGGTACATAGAGTTTGTTCCTGACAGCAAGGGGCCAGAATCTCTCCGTCATCGGTCACCTCCTCGAACTCATCGTCGGTCTTCCTGAAGCATGGTTCGCTAGGCTTACATGTACCCTCGTCTAGACTCCTAGTATCCCCCTTAATAACCCCTATAGTAGTCCCTCATATAATCTCCTATACAATCCCCTTTAAGGAGTCTAGACCCCAAACCCTAAACCCTAAGCCCTGAATCCCTAAACCCTATATAACCCCAATAGACTATAGTAGTTTCCATTTTTCTTTTCCATTAGCCCTATAGCTCTCATAAGGGTTTCTACCCTAAACCCTAAACCCTAAACCCTAAACCCTAAACCTAGAAACAGGGGTCCCTGTGGACCCTTGGGATTTCCAGGGATGGAAAGGGGAAAACGTGGGGGGTCCCTCCAAAAGGGATTCCTTGCCTTCCTAACTGTGGGGTTTTAGGGTTTAGGGCGTAGGGTTTAGGGTGTTAGGGTTTAGGGTTTAGGGTTTAGGGTTTAGGGCTTAGGGCTTAGGGTTTAGGGTTTAGGGCTTAGGGTTTGGGGTTTAGGGTTTAGGGTTTAAGGTTATAATAGGGTTATATTGGGATAATGGAAAGGGAAATGGAAACTACTGTTCAGGGTTTAGGGGCTTCAGGGCGTTTGGAAAATAGAGGTGGCGGGCACTATCTTGGTTGGGACATGGAGTACCGGGTTCTTGAGTAAAAGCAATACTTGCCCTGCTGGCATCCCTTGCTGACCAATATTGTTGATGGAACATTTCCTGCACCGCGCTAATCAACCAAAACCTGAATAGGTATCCCCAGCCACAGTAGCAAGGAGACCCCAAACCTAAAACCCGAAACTGCGAACCCTACGTAAGCCTCAAGCCTCCACACCAACGCTTGAGCGTAAAAAACTCAAAACCTAAACCTTCAGCCCAAAACCCAACCCCAACCTCAAACCCTAGACCCTCAATCGCATGGTAGTTTCCATTTTCTTTTCCACTTCCAAACCCCAATATATATGCCCCTGTATCCATCAAGGGACCCCAGACTAAGTAGCGATGATGTGCTAGGCAAGGCACAAGGTCGGGAGATGCCAAACCGCCAGAGCTTGCTCCACGCACTTCCGGTACTCCATCCTAGGGTTTTAAGGTTTAGGGTGACGAGGATTAGGGCTCAGGCATCAAGATTTAGGGTATGGGTTTAGGGCCCAGAAAGAGATCATATCAATAATGAGTATAAGTCATTATTGAAATATACTTTTGGTACTAATAAAAAAAGAAAACTAAGGTGAGGGTCGGGGAGGGTTTAGAGTTTCGAATTTAGGGTTTTAGGGCTTCGGATTCCTGGTGCAGGGGCGTGCTCTGGCGGAGGGAAAAAAGCCTAAGATGAATGCATGAACTCCGGATTAAGATTTAGGACCTAAGGGTTAGGGTTCCAGGTTTAGGGTTTAGGGTGTAAGGTCTCCTGGTAAAGCCTAAACGCTAAACCCTAACGGGTCTAAGGTTCACACTTCAGTCCTCGAACCCACCTGCTACCCAAGTGCTCAACCTTAACCCCACCGGGTGGTTTCGGGTAACCTAATCCTTAAACCATCTTAAACCCTTGCCCCTAATCCTTAAACCCTAAATCCTAGACCCTAAACAGTAAGCCTTCATCCCTAGAACCGATAGCCTCTTGCTTAAACCACAAACCCTTCACGGAGTCTCTCCTAGAAGGCCTTGCATTCAGCGCTTCGCACCCGGCCTGAGTGAAGGATACCCTGAACCCCAATCCGCTGCTTGAAGCTTAAGGATTTAAGGGTTGGGTCTAAGGAGTTTGGGTTCTGGGTTTAGGGTTGAAAGGTTTTGGGGTAGGGTTTCGGGTTTAAGCTTTAAGGTTTCGGGCAACCAAAACACAGACCCAGGGAGCCTGAGCATTTTAAACCACTACAAACCCCGGTATCCAATTAATTTTCCATGTTATTTGCCATGCGATTCTCCATTATGGTGGGTCTCGCTCTCCTAGACCCAAAACAATACAATAGTTTCCATTATCTTCTCCATTATCATTCTACAACCCTGTATAATCCTATATAAGCCTATATGATGCCATGTAATCCTATAAAATCCTAGATATAATCCTGTATACCCTTATACAATCCGATACAATCCTACGCAATCCCAGATAATGCTAGATCACTTCTAGGAAGCCAGGGCGCATAATGGTTAAAATCCACAGGAAGATGGCAATCACGCTCAGGACCACGCCAGGCACGGGCTTGCTCAAGTAATCTCAGTGGATCCATTTAGGGCTTAGGGTTAGGGGTCCCTAAACCTAAATCCAAAGTTTAGGGGTTCAGGCGGACTTAGGCAGGCTTAGCTATGGAGGATTTGGGGTTGTGGTCTTCGCGGGGTTGAGGATTTAGGGTCAACAAGTTGTTGGTACAAGAGTTTAGGTTTCAGGGTTCCATCCTTACAGGAAAAATACATGTTGCTTGTTGGCCGCTGTCAGCCGCCACAGTAAGGCTAAGTCTCAAAATAATCCCAATTTGGGTTCAGGGTGTAAGGCCTTCTAACCCTGACAAGGACCTCCATCATCCCCTTCTGATGCGCTTATATCCTTTAGGCCCCTGAATCTGGAACCTCCACCCTGTTCTAATGCTGTACAAGGTATGTAGAGTGGCGCAAGGTTCCCTTCATCCACAGCTCTCTTCTCTTCGCTGGATGGTGGGTTGGAAGCGGATGCCTTCACTGCCACATCGCTCCAGTGCTTGCCGCGGCAGCCGCGGCAGCGTCATGTCAGGTGACTCTGTTGTAGCAAGTGGACCAGTCACCGTGTCAGCTGCTTGCAAAGCTTTGGCATAAGAGTGCCGGTCGTCGCTTCAAACAGGAGTGGCTCTCCCGAACACAATTACAGTTTCCATGTTCGGGCGTCTATTTCCCCTGGAGTAAGGATACCTTTTTGGGGGCCCTTGTAACACGAGTTAGATGGGGATATACAGAGTTCAGGGTCGACACTTCCCCTAAATTAGGAGTAACATGTTGGGGTCCTTGTAACTAATAACATGTACAGTACCTCGGGGACTATATGCAGGTCTCCTATTTCGGGAAGCCACCACCCAAAGCAGGAGTCGCGCCGAGTCGAGTTGCTGTACACTCGGGCTGCCATCCCTGTATGGCAGGCTACGCAACTCCGGGCCGCAGCGAACTAGTTACGGTTTCCATGTTCGGGTGTCTACTTCCCCTAGAGTAGGGATACCTTTTGGGGGCCCTTGTAACACGAGTTAGATGGGGATATACAGATTTCAGGGCTGACAGTTCCCTCAAATTGGGAGTAGCATGTTGGGGTTCTTGTAACTAGTAACATGTACAGTACCTCGGGGGCTATATGCATGTCCTTTACTATTATTACAACGTTACTATGATTACTCTTCTCACAATCAATACTATTAGTACTTGTATCACTATAAAAACTATGATAATTATTATTACTATTGTTACTATACTTTGCTGCAGAGGCATGGCACGATGCCTCTACCATCTCCTTCTCAGTTTGCTGGTTGGCAGAAAGCCCACAAAACCCTAAACTTTATAGTCCCCCTTAAGTAGATAGAATATGGGCTATATGCGGGTCTTATTATAATATACGCAAAGCCATATTCTATCTACTTAAAGGGGACTGTAAACCTTAGCCTGAACCAATCACGCCTAAACCCAAATTGGTACTGCCCGTCCCCTACACAAACAATCCGCCACTCCACTCCCCCCGCCCCCCTCATATAGGATGCTCCCATTGTGGCTTACTATCCTAAATTAGGAATGTTCAATATGATGTTTTTCAATATTCGGGCAAGGTCATTGTTCATCTTTGTGGTTTCAGTGTGGATTTCTAATACTGCCTTGGGAGGCTTAACTTCTTAAGCTTTTGGTCCCCCTTAAGTAGATAGAATATGGCTTTGGGGATATTTTAAAAAGATCCCCATAGAGCCCATATTCTATCTACTTAAGTGGGACTATAAGGATACAAGATCTACTTGGAGGTTCACAGGTAGTAGCATTGGCATCTAATGCGCTAAGCCGTACATACCCCGCAAACATTTAGGTAGCTTCTCTGGGGGATCTAGGAGTATTTGTGGCTCCTCCGAGAGGACTACACCAGGAGCAGGTGAAGGATTATAGGATATCACTCCGAGTAAAGATGAAGATCACAAAATGTAAACCCTAAACCCAGAATGGCAAAGAAGCACTGTGCTTCTGCAATGCCATCCTGAATCCCCCATAACCAAACATCAGAATGGAGGGGGCCACAGTGATTACACGACATCAATGCGGCTTTTGGGGTACATTGTATTGCAATCATGTGCAAACGGGCACTATTTCAAACTAATTGCCCCCCTCCCAGCCCCAACATATATCTCTCCCAGCTCCTACTAGTGACGAATTCACCGGATATGGTACCGTTATACATCAGTGGGACATGTCATGGCTAAAGGGGGTGGGGAAGATGTTCATTATCCGGGGGAAGGCATTATTCAGTCCTTCAAATTCACCTGGTGAGGATAGGCTTCCAGCCGACGGGGTGTAGCAACACAAAAATCGGATACCTTGTGGGTATTGACCCCACCCTTTTTCATCCTAAAACAAGGACAAACTGTAGAGCTTCAGGATAGGTCTTCATAGTACAAATGTTCTCCAACTGTTACTGAGTGCGGGGCAGTATCCAGTTCGTCCCTCTCCACACTTCACCAACACCCTGAACCCGAAAACACTAAACCCAGAAGCGGTCTCCTGGCATTTAAAAGGAAGCAGGAAGTAAGATGCCTCCCTTCCCTTAAGGGTTCTTGGATTACACCCCTGAGGTTTAGGGTTTAGGGGGTGGTACTCCTAGAAGTTTTCCCCAATATAGCCCTTGCATGAACCAATGTAGTCTGCTAATCTTCCTCAAAAGGATCCCAAAGCTCAGGGGTACAACCGTGGGATAACAACCCTAACAGAAAACAATCCTAGGGGTACAACCCTGAAACCCTTGATGACTCTGACCGTCTGCATGATCCACTCCCTGATCGACGTCTTCCTCTGACACCAAACCATAACCTAACAGGTGAACACATAAGCAAGCATTGAGGCTCCTATCCTGAACCTAAACCCTAAGCCCCTAAACCCTAAACCCTAACCCCCTTACCCCTAAACCCCTTAACCCCTAAACCTCTAAACCCCTAAACCCTAAACCTCTAGACCCCTAAACCCCTAAACCACCTTAACCCCTTCAACCCTAAACCCGTAACCCCCACACCCCTTAACCCCTAAACCCTAAACTCCTGAACCCCTGAACCCCTGAACCCCTAAACCACCTAAACCCCTACACCCCTTCACCCCTTAACCCCTGAACCCCTAAACCACCTAAACCCCTTCATCCCTTCACCCTTACCTTAACCCCCTACACCCCTTAACCCATAAACCCCTAAACCTCAACCGAACCTGCCAGACCCAGTCTGCTGAAGCTCACTGAGGGCCGGACCGTAGAGTTCGTTGTACACCTGTCGGCTTTTTCTTGGGTTTGAGGTTTAGGGCTTAGGGTTTAAGGTTTAGGGTTTAGGGCTCAAGATTAAGGTTTAGGGTGCTGGGTGGAAGATACCCAAACCCTAGACCCTGAAAACTCCTGACGCTACCAACCTGCGCCCTGCACCCCTGGACTCGACTGCATGGCATTCAGTCATAAACTTTGCAAATTCTAAAGCCAAAATGCCCAGATAGATGATCTAAAGCCTAGCTTGCACCCTCAACACGTTAGACACAACGAAATACCCTACACCTTCAATACCCAAAATACACCAAAACCTGAACTCCGGCTATTCTTCAGCCCTGTAAACACTCAACCCTGAATACCCTGAAACCTAAATACCCTTACTTCACCAAACCTATACCCACACAGTGCTTTACACCGCATGCACTTGAATATCCCAAAACTCAACATAATCCCAGCTTCCGTTCCCGTGATCCCCGTACTGGTCCATGTGACATACGCACAGGCACCCTAGGACCTCTCTTTCTGGGGATTTCCCAAAAGTAGGGGTCTTAAAAGGGATTTCTAGGGGGATCTATCGGGGTTGTATAAGGGAATATAGGGTTTAGGGTTAAGGGATTAGGGTTTAGGGTTCAGGGATATATAGGGTTTAGGGTTTAGGGGTATATAGGGTTTAGGGTTTAGGGATTAAGGTTTAGGGCTTCCCAAAATTACGGGTCCCCTCTCGGGGGTTCCCCGGACTATAGTATTTTGAGGTCTAGAGTGGGGTCTCCAGTATTTTGGGAGGCTACCGTATGCCCTTATGTAACACGATGGGTTTAGGGCTTAGGGTGTATCCCTACATACCTGAAGCCTCATATCCCTGTATGTCCCTACTGTACATATCTGTAGCCCTATAAACTTCAGATCCTGAGGGTGGGCAGCGAGCAAACCAGCATCCCAGAATCTACTCCATGTACCGGCTTTAGGGCTCTGATATGAAAGTCTGATATTCGGGGTTTCGGGTACCCTAAGCCCCCAACTTAGCATACTGTTTCCCTCGACCCTAAACTCTAAACTCTAAACCGCGTGGTGTTCGGGGTTTAGGCAACCTGTACGCCCGTTTAGACTTAAAGGAAGCTGTGCACTTGTATTCGGAATCTGAAAGCCTTCCCACCGACTGGGTTTAGGGTTTAGGGTTTTCCCAATACCTTCAGCCCCTCTACCCTGACATCATAAGCTCTGATGTCTGAGCCCCAAGGTAAAAGCCCCTAATAACCTCAACACCGGCGATGTAGACGCCTCGATAAATGAGAAGATTATAGAGTAGTAGACTTCAATTGAGTTCTAGAATCACGGCAAGCCTGTACTCTTTTGCAAATCTTTGGACCCTAAACTCGCAAGCCCGAACCCAAGGCCCCAAATCTCAAGTGCCCAAACCCTACACGGCCAACCACAAAACCGCCCCAAAAACCACCAAACCCTGCCGTAGACCCGATTCAAATGTCTTAACGCCTAAATAATATTCTATAACCCCAAATATTGTAGCTTTTTCCCTTCAATTGTCCATTGACTTTTCCATTTTCTTTTCCACTATCCCTACTTATCCCCACATATTTCTAGAACGAACCCTAAGCCCCAAATAGTAGCTTCCGTTTTCCTTTCCATTATCCCTATACGAGCTATAATGTTTACCCCTGGTATGCCCCTTTGTAACCCCTATTTTACTCCCTTCATAATCCGCTATTTAACCCCCCTTTAAGGAGTTCAGACTATAGCTCATTTACCCAAAACCCAAAACCCCAAAGTCCATTATCCCTGTATACCCCGATTATGACCCTTATTATATGTAGGAGTTTCCTTTTTCTTCTCCATTATATCTATATACCCCGATATATCTCCATAACAGTACACAAAAGCCTAAACCCCAAACCCTGAATCTCAAACCCTAAAGTCCGTTATCCTTATATACCCCTGCATATTCCCATTATAGTGTAGGAAATTCCATGTTTCCATTGTCCGTATATAATGTAGACCCCTCATTCTAACCCCCCTTCCTAAATAGTGATCATAATAGGGAACCTAATAAGAAGGCCGTTACAAGGGAGAGGTTTACTAATCTTGTGTCTACACTTCCCTAAACAGGCGGAGGGCTCTTTTTAGGTGTGGCACACTCATCCTTGCGACTGTTGGCACTTTCGCCAAGCAACAATCATGGCACAGCTCAAAAACGACGACTGTTACGAGGATGGCGACCCTGACACCCTCGATCAATGTGACTGTTGACACCTTTGACACGCAAACAAGATGTGAAAGCTCAAAAACAATGACAGTCACGAGGATGGCGACCCCGACCCGCCTGATCCGCGTGACTGTTGACACTTCTGACACGCAAACAAGATGTGAAAGCTCAAAAACAATGACAGTCACGAGGATGGCGACCCCGACCCGCCTGATCCCTGTGACTGTTGACACTTTTGACACGCAATAAACATGTGAAAGCTCAAAAACAATGACAATTACCAGGATGGCGACCCCGACCCGCCGGATCCCTGTGACTGTTGACACTTTTGACACGCAAAAAAAAGATGTCAAAAACCAAAAAAGATGACAGTTACGTGGATGGTGATCCTGACCCGCCTGATCCCTCTAACTGTTGACACTTCTGACACACACAACAAGATGTGAAACATCAAAAACGATGACAATTACCAGACGCCCGATCCGTGTGACTGTTAGCACTTTTGACACGCAAACAAAATGTGAAAACTCAAAAACGATGACAATTACGAGGATGGCGACCCCGACCCGCCTGATCCCTGTGACTGTTGACACTTCTGACACACACAACAAGATGTGAAACATCAAAAACGATGACAATTACCAGGATGGCGACCCCGACCCGCCCGATCCGTGTGACTGTTGACACTTTTGACACGCAAACAAAATGTGAAAACTCAAAAACGATGACAATTACGAGGATGGCGACCCGGACCCGCTGTGCTATTCATACACTTATATACATATATACAGAATATAGGGTGTATATATAGGGTTAAGAGTTCAAGGTCAGGGATGAAATTATGTAGGAATATATTTTAGGACACATACTTCCTTACTCCCTACTTTGAACCACGTAGTGGAGGGTACGCTTCCTTCGGTTTCTGGATGATGGCTGATGTACGTAATATTCAGGCTTATGTGGCTTTGCACTTTGGACGTTCATCTTCCTGTAGCACCCGCATTGTTAACCTTAAGCCCTCAACCCGAAACCCACAATTAATGAACTTACATAATCCGCCGACCTTGGGGGGCGTGTTGGATGGTTGCCGAAGGCGGAGAGGGTGAAAACCCTCTTCCTTTCTCCCTTACAGCCCCAAAACGCGCGGGGGGTGGGGTGGGCGGTTTTTGTGGGGAAAAGGCCCCAGACCCCTGGTGGGCCGGGCCCCAAGCCCTGGGGGCCCGGGCCCCAAGCCTCCTGGAGACCTGGCCCACAGGCCCCTGGGGCCTGGATCCCGCCACTCTCACGGGTCTCAAAACCCCTAAACATTCAGGCGGAGCTTTACAGTCCCATGAAAAGGCGGGGTTCCTCTTCGCTCCAGC